GTCAGTCTTTCCACGAGCATGAAATGTTTGTCATTTTTGTTTTAGTTTGTGTTTCCTTGATGACTAAGGACGTGGAGCACCTTTTTCTTTTTCACTGTTTATGTTTCGGGAACAGGCTAGTGAAGACTTAGAAAGGCTTTTTTTCTCTGTGTTTCTGAGCACCACCTGTAGTAACAAAGTGCCACAAATGGAGTGGCTTAAAACAACAGAAATTGTCCCACAGTTCTGGAGGCTAGAAGTGTGACATCAAAGTGTCAGCCAGGCCTTGCTTCCTGCTGAAACCTGTCCGGGGGAACCCTTTCCTGATTCTTCTAGCTCTTGGCGTTTGCCAGGGATCTTTGGTGTTCTTCGGCTTGTAGGAGCACCCCCCCCCCCCCCCCGGCTTGTTACATGGGCATCATTCCTCGTGTGTCTCTGTGTTGGCTGTACCCTATGCATGGTTTTTTTTTTTTTTCCTTCCACAGCTTTAAAAAGAAACCTTTTCCCCTTTACCTCAAGGCATCTCCATAGATGACACAAACTTGTAGGTCTTTTCCTGCATACTGGGAAGGCTTACATCTGGCTAGGAGTTCTCTGGCTTGCTCTGTTGACATTTAGTGTCCTGCCCTGCCAAGTGGGTGACATGGGGCAAGGTGGAGGCCCTGGTTGATGGCCATATACCAAGTTGTAGAGGGATAGGAGGTTAAGAAACTCATCCCTATGGAGCCATCAAGTCTTGTCCTGCGAGTCTGCCCTCAGATGATGCTGGTGTTAGTCACCAAGCTCTCTGCTCTCTGCCGGCCTTCAAGAGACTTCCTGAGGGGCGTCTGAGCCCTCCTTTGCACATAAATATACATAAGAGACAAATACACATCTGTCTTTCTGGAGACAGAGTTGTGGGATGAATCACTAGCATCTACAGGGGAAAGACTTTTTATTTTCTTATAGGGATATAAATAATTTAGTAGAACAAGATTAGAACAGTAACTTGTGTTAAGGTTTTGAAGATAGTTTGTATGTTTCTTAAAAACAGATTTTTCTGATGTTGGTTTATTCTTTTTAAAAAATTAGTATTTTAAAAAATAGATGATACATACACATTACAAAATTCAAAAAATCAAAAAGTAAACAGTAAAAAATAGTTGTCCCATTTCTGTTTCTTAGTAATGGTTTCTCACAGATATTTGTATAGATGTTTATCCATATGCAAACGTATATAGACTTATGCTCAGACAGTCACATCCTGTGAACACTGTTCTGCCTCTTTAGGTAAGCTTTTCATTGTATCTTTTCAATGACTTTAAAGTCAAACATATTACTGCCTCCTTTTTAATGATTACACATCATTCTGGAGTATAGATTTGCCTTAATTCATCAGATCTTACTGACAGACAGTTTAGGTCTTTTCTAATCTTTTTCTGCTTTGAGCAACAAGTTTTAAAGCTGGTTTCAAATATTCCTAATTATTACTCAATAAGAAATGACAAAAGTGATTTCTACTATTAGGAGTGTAAAGAAAACTCATGTTGTGAATTTTACAAATAAAAGTATATCACTTTGGCCAAACGTATGCTTATCTTCAGGCCATAAATTAGTAGGCTAGGATAATATTTGGAAAGGAGGTCCAATGAGGTATACTTTCTGGCATTACAGTAGGAAATTTGGGGTATAATGATCAACACTGATTTATCCCATATGGATTTTGTTTACTAGACTGAAACTTCTAATACTATTTTTTCTATAGTTTGCTAAATATATTTTTATTTTCCACTTAAGTCTGTGATTTTTGTTTTAAATGCCTTGGGAGCAAAGCAGGTCTGTCTGAGCTGTTGTGTGAGTGAAGACAAGAACCAGGCTGAAGCCTTTGTCCAGATTTTTTTTAATGTTTATTTTTGAGAGAGAGAGAGAGAGAGAGAGAGAGAGAAAGAATATGAGCGGGGGAAGGGCAGAGAGAGAGGGAGACACAGAATCCGAAGCAGGCTCCAGGCTCCAAGCTGTCAGCACAAAGCCCAACACGGGGCTCAAGCTCACAAGCCATGAGATTGTGACCTGAGCCGAAGTCATATACCCAACTGACTGGGCCACCAGGCACCCCCTTTGTCCAGATTTTTAAGGGCCTGTTGATATGTGGTTATATTAGTTTCCTATTGTTATGTAACAAATTACCACCAACTTAGTAGCTTGAAACTACTCATATTTATTGTCTTGCAGTGTCCATAGGGCAGGAGTCTGGGTACAGGTTAGCTGGGTCCTCAGTACCATCAGCCTGAAAAGCAGCGATGGGCAGAGGTGGGTCTCTTCTGAGGCTTAGGGTCCACTTCCAAGCTCACAGGTTGTTGACAAAATTAATCACCCTGTGGCTGTATGACTGAGGGCCCCATCTCCTTACTGGCTGTCAGCTGGAGACCTTTCTCAGGTATTTGCCATGTGGCTGCTTCCTCAGATAACATGGCATTTTGCTTTCTTCTAGGCCACCAGGAGAGCCTCTGGGGCTTCACCTTTTTTTATCTAAGGAGATGCAAGGGAGCAGTGGGCAGGACAGCAAAAGAGACTGTCTTCCATGAGACAGTGGTGGGGAGGCGGGTGCTGTACTTAAGGGGGGAAGGTGAAGAAGTATGGGAACATATGGAATTTTCCTTTTTTGGTACCTGTGTCTGGTTGTAAGTAGCCCATTGATCAGCTAGGGCTTGTGGATATTTTGAGGTGGGTCATCTAATGGGCCTATTTGCATTCAGCCTGGTGGTCACCATGGGCCCTTTTACTTAACTCAGGCTTCCATTGCTCAAGTCTGTTGCCTAAAATTGGCCTCCATTCCCCCCTGACAGTGGACGATGACAAATCTTTGCGTTTGGGTGGAGGTCTTGTGTTCAGTAGCGGCTTCATACTAGATTGGTGGGGGTGGGGACGCGGTCCCTACCTAAACTTGTCACCCATCAGGGGTTCTGTGCAGTTACAGACCAGAGCATGGTATTAGATTAACGTGCTGATAGACAATTTGAGTGGAACTCCTTGGTGGCCAGGTGCATGGCATTTAGGGGGAGGGGACCCTCCCATAGTATGGGCTGCACTCCTTGCTGAACCATCATTTGTATATGGAGTTGTTGGATTCACTCAGATGCCTGAGAATGTATTCTGCCTATAGATCAAGGTGGTGGCTGGACCGTGGGAACAAAGGAGAGGAGAGAAGCTGAAAGAGGCAAGGTGGCTGGGAGTCTGGCAGCATCAGGAAAGGTTCCCAACCAAGTGTGCAGATTGGCCTTGGATGAGCTGCAGATGGAGTAGGAGAGGAGAGGAAAGGGGTCCATCGCCCTCACACCGCGCCTGGAAACCGCCCTGGCCAGGGACCTTCATGGTCTGAGGAGTACTAGGTTTAGGCCGCCGGAGGGCTGTAAAGAGAAGGGAGAGGGAAAGATCCCTCCAGAGGGCAAGAGAGGAAGTCCCTCATTCTTTCAGGCAAGGGTGGTCTGGTGGGTTCCCCCTGGGGCTTCGGATCCTCACCAAGGAGTAACCTCCGCCCCTGGAGGTCGTCAGTTCCCCAAGGCGTACTAGAGTCATTTCAGGGAAAGCCCTGAGAAATCCCCAGAGAACCCGGGGAGAGCTCCAGGGTCAGCAAACGCTCCCCGTGCAGGGTACACCAAATGTGGGGTGATCGGATTGGGTGGGGGCCCACAGCACAGGGCGATTAAAGAATTCACCCGAGGCAGAATAGAGAAGATAGTAGTTTATTGAATACACCGCAAGGGAGGGGAAGGCAGGACAGCAAAGGAGACACTGACGGTTTGTTTTTAAAGGAGAAAAGCAAGTAAGTTTAATAACATGAATACCGCATGTATACCCGGGGTCTACTGACAAAAACTGAGTGACTCCGAGGCTTCACCTTTTAAAGTGCTCAACTGATTAGGTCAGGCCCACCCACCTAGGATAGTCTCCCATTTGGTGGACTCAAAACGTTCTCCCATAATATTAATTGGTTTCACCTACACCCAAAGAGAGGGGATTATGCAAGGCATGTACACCAGGGGGCAGGAATCTTGGGGTTCATCTTAGGTTTCTGGCTCCCTCGGTGCCTGCTTTGGAGTTCTAAGTGCTGCAGCCATAGGGGGGCAAGCTAGAATTGTTACACCTTTTCTCTTTATGAAGACTTAGTAATTGGACAATTATTAATATTTTTTTCTTTTTTTTTTAATTTTTTTAACATTTATTTATTTTTGAGACAGAGAGAGAGCATGAACAGGGGAGGGTCAGAGAAAGAGGGAGATACAGAATCTGAAACAGGCTCCAGGCTCTGAGCTGTCAGCACAGAGCCCGACGCGGGGCTTGAACTCACAGACCGTGAGATCATGACCTGAGCCGAAGTCGGACACTTAACCGACTGAGCCACCCAGGCGCTCCTATTAATATTTTTTAATAAATTTTTTAAATGTTTCTTTATCTTATTTAAAAGAAATTTTTTTTTAATGTTTACTTATTCTTGAGAGAGAGAATGAGAGAGGGAGACACAGAATCTGAAGCAGGCTCCAGGCTCTGAGCTGTCCGCACAGAGCCCTACGCGGGGCTTGAACTCATGAACTGTGAGATCATGACCTGAGCCAAAGTTGGACGCTCAACTAACGAGCCACCCAGGCGCCCCTGGACAATTATTACTCTTTACCTTTTACGAAAGACAGTCCCTAAAGCGCAATGGACAGGTGAGTAGTTCCACTCATCCCTACCTTAATTGCATCCTAGTCAAAACCATTGGCTTTTCAGAAGGGATCTCTTGTCAGAGTCTTCTCTGTTTCTTTCCTTCAATCCTAAAACATCATGTTGTTTCATTACAGGCCAACTCCCTGGGCTAGTAATTCTCAATACTGTTGTCCAACAGCAGGAGTCTTCTTACCAGTATGTAAGACAGGAAGAATCATTGTGCTGGAGAAGTGTTTCCTTCCACCACCATCCTCGTGTGCCCTCTGCAATTCCTTTTTTTTTTTTTTATGTTCATTTGTTTGTTTGTTTGTTTATTTATTTATTTGTTTATTTAGAATAGGGGAGCGGCAGAGGGAGAAGGAGAGAGAGATTCCCAAGCAGGCACCATGCCCAGCGCAGAACCTGACACGGGGCTCAATCCCATGAACCATGAGGCCACGACCCAAGAGGAAACCACGAGTCGGCTGCTGAATGAATGAGCCACCCAAGTGCCCCACCATCTGGAATGTTCTCACCTCTTAACTCCACTGCTTTCATAGGTGTTAGGGAATCTCGTTTTGGGGGCTGGTGTGGGGAAAGCCCTTTCTATTAGTCTGTACGAACCACCTCTGAACTTGTGCTTGGGGCTCAGATCTGACCAGAGTTGCCAAAGGGAAACTGGAGCATGGTTATGATGCCCTAAAGGAAGGATGCTGGGCAGTGAAGTTCAGTTTCAGGTGAGAAAGTGCAACTGGAAAAAGCCTCCTGTTTTAGTAGACTGAAAGTTGAGGGTGGTTTCTTAAGGGTAATATTTATTATTCAGCGTCCAGCCAGAGGGAAGTAATCAACCTTTTTTTTTTTTTTAATGTTTGTTTATTTATTTTTGAGAGAGCACAAGTGAAGGAGGGGCAGAGAGAGAGGGAGACACACACAGAATCCGAAGCAGGCTCCAGGCTCTGAGCTGTCAGCACGCAGCCTGATGCGAGGCTTGAACTCACCAGCTATGAGATCATGGCCTGAGCTGAAGTCGGATGCTTAACCGATCAAATCACCCAGGCGCCCCAGTCATCAACCTTTAAAAGCAGTTGAGTTTGCTTTTCTGAATTGAGAAAAAGTGCACGTGCCAGAACCATCTTTGAGTCCCATGGCGCTGAGCTTCATCCTGATTTCTGCTTTTAGAGGAGGTGCAGCTTGTCTGGGATTAGAAGCCTGTCCCTGGGGAGGGCGGTGACAAACAGGTGCACTGTGATTTCTTTGGGTCTGTCTGGGTGTCTGGTGGAATGCACTGTGCTGCTCTGGGAGCTCCCGGGAGGACAGGAAAAGAGACTGGCCTCTGCAAGCCGGACCTGCTCCTTAGGTTTCCAGCACATTCCATGGATGGTGTTTTCCTGTCTCCACAGATGCCATTTTCTTGCCCCAGTTCTCCAAGCTTTAAAGTCTTAAGTTCTGGGGGCACCTGGGTGGCTCGGTCAATTAGATGCCCAACTTTGGCTCAGATCATGATCTCACCGTTTGTGAGTTTGAGCCCGGCATTGGGCTCTGTGCTCTCAGCTCTCTGTCTCTCCTCTCTCTCTCTCTAAAATAAACGTTTTTATTTTCTCTCTCTAAAATAAATAAACGTTTAAAAAAATCAAGTTCTCATTCGCCTTAAAGTCTTTCCTATGGAGAGTGGGCTCGTCGTCTGAAGGACAATCTGCCCTTAGTAGAATCCTACCTTTTTCTGATGGGCTTTTTACTTTTTGGTGTTGTTTTTATATGTATGTGTTTGTATATATATTTACACTGAGGTGTGACTGACATACAAAACAGTTGTGTATATTTATGTGCATATCTCAGTGGGTCTAAAGGTAAGTATATAAGTATATGCTCATGAAATTGTCACCATGTACAATGCCCTGCACCTCTAGAAGTTTCCTCCTTCCCTCTTTTTTTTGTCTTTTGGGTATGGAAGTTTAACATAAGATCTACCCTCTTAACAAATTTGTAGGTATACAACACAGTGTTCTTCACTACACGGTCTGTGCTGTGCAGTAAGTCTCTGGGACTTTCTCTTCTTGCCTAAGTGAAACTTTGTACCCTTGGACCAACATCTCTCTGATCCTTGCCCCCCACCCCCGGCCCATGGTTGCCACCATTCTACTTTCTGCTTCTAGGAGTTTCACGATTTTAGATTTGTCATACAAGTGGGATCTTGTAGTCTTTGCTCTTCTGTGTCTAGCTTGTTTCACTTTGCACAGTGTCTTCCAAGTTCATCCCTATTGTAGCAAATGGCAGGATTTCCTTTTTTAAGGAAAAAAATATATATGTACATGCCACATTTTATTTGCCCATTGGTCCACGGATGGACATTTGAGTGTTTTTTTTTTTTTTTCAATATATGAAATTTATTGTCAAATTGGTTTCCATACAACACCCAGTGCTCATCCCAACAGGAGCCCTCCTCAGTACCCATCCCCCACCCTCCCCTCCCTCCCACCCCCCATCAACCCTCAGTTTGTTCTCAGTTTTTATTTTTATTTATTTATTTTTTCAACGTTTATTTATTTTTGGGACAGAGAGAGACAGAGCACGAACGGGGGAGGGGCAGAGAGAGAGGGAGACACAGAATCGGAAACAGGCTCCAGGCTCTGAGCCATCAGCCCAGAGCCTGACGCGGGGCTCGAACTCACGGACCACGAGATCATGACCTGGCTGAAGTCGGACGCTTAACCGACTGCGCCACCCAGGCGCCCCATGTTCTCAGTTTTTAAGAGTCTCTTATGCTTTGGCTCTCTCCCACTCTAACCTCTTTTTTTTTTTTTTTTTTTTCTTCCCCTCCCCCATGGGTTTCTGTTAAGTTTCTCAGGATCCACATAAGAGTGAAACCATATGGTATCTGTCTTTCTCTGTATGGCTTATTTCACTTAGCATCACTAAGTGTTTTGTTTTTTAATGATTTTTCAGCTCTTTTCTTTGGTGAGGCTCCTGTCTCAGATCTCCAACTAGGGTCCATGTTCCAGGAGTTGGGGGGACACATTCTCCTTCAGAGTCTCCACGTGTGGAGCTCCTGGCCTTGAACATAGAAGGTGTGTAGGAAATGTACTTTCTCCTCCCCATTCTCGTTGCCTGTGGGGCTGCAGGCGTCCCCACAGCGGTGCCCTCAGTCCAGGTCCTCCTGCCTGCTGTCAGGTGCAGTTTTCTGTAACACTGAGTCCGTGTTAGGGAAGTGGCATAAATCTAATCCAGGCCCCCTTGTGCTTTCCCCCACCCCGAATATATACTTAAAACCTCTCATTGCCTACAGGAGTATTTTTCAAATTAGGGACACAGACCCCCTGGGGGTCTTTAAAATTGTACCAAGATGACTGTGAGTTCCATGAGGATATTTTGATTTTGTGTTTCAGTTTTAATGATATTCTTCAAGACATTTTTAATATAAGCTTACACTAGATTATCTGGATCACTACTTTATAACTGATCCTGTTGTGCGATTTAAGTGCCTGCATTTCTGTTTGGCTTGCTTTGGTGCCAAGAGAACATCCAAAGTGATAGGGGTTTAACTGTTCATGTGGTGTTTTTGAGAGAGGGAGAGAGTGTGTGTGTGTAGCTGTATGAACTTCGAGAAGCACTGGGTAATGAGCTAAAGCCATTCTCCTACATCCAGCTCACAGGGACCTGTGTGTACAGGCTCATGTTCCCCTCCACAGTCTCTGCCCATGTGAATCCTGTGCCATGGCTCCCTCCCTAGCCCCCCACCCGGAGTCTTTAATGTACCTGCTGAATTCCTTTCCACCTTCCTGACTCAACCCTGTGTTCCATCCTCAGACATCCCAGAGGTGACCTCTCCTCCCTAGTTTCTGTTCTAGGAATGCCCTTGGTGATGGCATTTATCTCCTTGCTGCCATCAAGGGCCCACCCGGCTGTCTCCACAGCAGAATTATGAGCCCCCAGGAGACGGGACCGAGCTCTCTGCCTCCCTGTGCCTAGAACCCAACAGGCGCTTAATACATACTGTCACCTGGTTTTGTCTAGGCCCAAGAGCTGTGGTCACACCAAATCTCCTTTTAGCTCTCTTCCCGGGTTAGCCTTGGATCATGTGTCCTAAGCTGCTGGGACGTTTGCTGTTGTCTAGCATGCTGCCATGCATTTAGTGGAAGCTCAATTAACATTCCGTGATTTCTCTGCTCAAGATGGATTGAGGGTAATTTTCTTCCCCTTTGAGCAAATGTTTTGCAGAAGAAAAAAATGAAAATAGGATCTGTCAATTAAGATTCCAAAGAAGGATTGCTCGCATATTATTTTGCAGTTTGCCTTAAACTCTGCCTCACTTGGCTATACATCAGAGTGTTTGTTGAAACACACTGCATGAGCTGCTTATGGACTATTCTGGACACACTGACGTTTTCCCTGAATTATCTTCCCAGTACGGACTACTCTCTTGCTCACTTGGCATCTTACTCTTTTTGATGGTGACGACTCTGGTTAGGCTTATTCGACAGTATTTCTCACAGCCAACCACCAAATCTGCTGACGTTTGTTCTGCCAGCCAAGCTCTTCGACTTGCCGGGGGAACCACCCCCGTGGCCCTTCGTGGTCCACTCACTGTATGATGCTCGTGTTCCCTGGGGCTGCTGGGCAAATGAATTGGCTTGAACTTGAACCCTTCTTCTCTGCGGCGCTTGTTTGTGTATGATAAACTTTCTGAAGATGTTTGAAAAGTAAATGTTTGAATTGCACATCCTTATTTGGTCGACCTTTTGCACTCCCCAGCACTGTCGGGCCAGCGAGGGCTGCTGGCTGGCTTGCCGCAGGGAGAGACGTGGAAGGTACTTACTTGAAAAGGCACCACAGCATCTTCTGTATCTTGACTGTTTCCTGTTACTCTGGAAGAAGCTGGCTGTTGAGGTAGAAATTAATTTCATTTATTGGTATTTTTTTCACTGGTGGAACCCTGCACCATCTCTCCTGAGAATTACAGTGAAGGCACTGTAACCCCCTCCGGGGATTCTGTTGTCTCAGAGCTGATACTTGAGCAGGGTAATAGTGACAACCATTTTATAAAAATAACATTTTTTACTATTACAGGGGTGATATACACTCCAGGCTGAAAAGTTGGAAGATTCAGAAATATCACAAATAAAAAAGGCACAGTCTCAACACCCTGAGGTGGCTCCCACGCTTTTCCTCTGTACGTTTATGGCTGTATTTTACAAATGTAGCTTTCTGTTTCTTCTGCTCCTCAACAGAGCATAAACCTCTCACTATGTCAATATTTGTTCTTTTACCATATGTAGATAGCACATTTTACTTAACCAGTCCCTTGTTGGACATTTGGTTTGATTCTAATTTTCTATTATTATAGTTATCTTGTGATAAGCATCTTTAGTCCCGCGTCTTAGCTGGCATTTCTTTTATCATGTCCTGAGGATATATTCTGAGAAACAGAACTCTAAAAAATATACATTTTTTAATGCCATAATAAGAATAGATTGACTTATCAAATGTCGTTCATATAGAAAATGAAAGATTAATCTACAGTCGCACAAGCAATGTTAATAGCTGGGCAACTCTCCGTAAAATTGCTTTCTGCTTTGCTGTGGATGGGGTGTTGCATGGAGTGGGAAGTTAAGAACACAAACTTCGGGGCCACACGGCTGGGGTTCTGATCTGTGTCCCACTGCTTCCCAGTTATGTGACCTCGCCAAGGCACTATAGCTCTTTCTTTAGATTTGTCATTAAGATTTCCTTATCTACAAAATAGGGACAATAAAAGTACCCATCTCAAAGTCATAATAAAAAATGAATTAGGGGCACCTGGGTGGCTCAAGTCGGTTAAGTGTCTGACTTCAGCTCACAGCCCGTGAGTTCGAGCCCCATGTCGGGCGCTGTGCCGACAGCTCGGAGTCTGGAGCCTGCTTCGGATTCTGTGTCTCCCTCTCTCTCTGCCCC